TTTGAAAATGCTCAGAATTTACTAAATGTTTAAGTTTCAGGGACATGTCTTCAAGGATTTGTAGCTTGAAATCCCAGCATTTCTAGGAGAACATTTGTTCTGCAATGTTTGAGATCTCATTGAGATCCATAACTCTTGTGTTAGAAGTTATTCCAGAATCAACTTGCATCATGGTGATAATCTGATCAGAAGTTCTGAGCTTGTCATATTTCTTAAACACTTAGAAAAATTATAAGTATTTAGAAATTTGACTTTTCCAAAGTAATTTTGACTTCTGAATTTCTTGATGAAACAAACTTTATATTTAAACATGTCTTGATTAAATATGATTCTTGAAACTTGATTTTGATCAAAAAGTCAAAGTTTGACTTTTCAGTGTGCAAATGACCATTTTGCCCTTGTGAATGACTTTCTTGGAAAATTTGTAATTCAAGGCTTGAAATTGGATGGGAACAAATATGAGGGTCCAGGATGATCTTTTGAGAAATGAGAGGGCAAATTTTGGGGTACAACAAAGCGTGTGAAAGTTATGCCTGATTAAAGTTCAATTGACTTCTCATAAGGAAACTCTAACTTAGCAACTTTTTGTCTTTTGATGATTCGATGGATTTCCTTGAGGAATCATGATCAACCCTTGATCAAAATGATGAATATCACTCCAAAATGTTGATGTTGACCAAAAATCTTGAATTTTGACTGTATGTTGACCACAATTGACTTTTCACCCCTTGTAGTTGATTTTTAGTCATCTGAGCCATTGACTGAGCAAAGTTGTGATGCAAGGCTTGAAACTTGACATGAGCATTGTTGAAGACCTATGAAGAACCATAAAAACCACTTGAGACCTTGAGAACCCAATCTCCTTGGTGAAACACAAAATCCTAGTTGTGGACCCATTGCTTAGGAGGAGAATTTGTATGATCAATTCTTGAACCACCTTGAGCTTTTGAGGACCTCATGAGAATGTCTTGAGAAAAAAGGGAGGACAAATTTTGGTGTACAACATATCCTATCAGGGGCAAGTATCTTCCAGATCTAGTTGTGAATCAGTTCAAGATTTATTGCTCAGTTCAAGTTATTCTCAGAATTGGTTAGCCAAAAGGTCTCTTTCAAGACTTATACTGGGGCAATCCTTTCCCTCAGTTATTTCAAGAAATGAATCCATGATCAGTTTATTTCCAACAGTCATTTCAGAGTTGAGGCCATGATCAATTTATCACCAACAATTATCGACTGAAACTAAGATCAGTTTATCCTCAACAGTCAGTTAATCTGGAGCAATCCCCATGTATCTCTTCAGTCCTTGCTCAAAGGATCACCAGTTCAATACAATTGTGATAGAAGGGTGTTCAAGACATTTTCTTTCCAAGCAAAGTTAGTAGTGTTCCCTGTGTTGAGGAATCAGAGTTTCAATCTTACCTCCACAAAAGAGTCAACCTCTATTGTCGTAGATGTTTGCATTACATATTACATGCCTAGATCATTCATACATCATGCATCACAAAATTCAATATCATTGCATAGAAAGAGTGTTTTATCCGCATTTGCATTTCTTGATATCTTATTGTTATCAATGTCTTACTTTGCGGTCAAAGTCTAACCTACTTGACACTTACCAAAATAGATGTCAGTCTGTCTTGTGTCTTTTCCTGTCCAATACTATTCTTCAATACACTACTCTCACTTTTATTCAACACCGTTCTTGGATGTCGCATTCCCCAATGTAGCGTTTCTCACCTCGTCCAGTGCCATTCCTGGATGTCTGTCTCTTTTTACTCTAGTGCCATTTCTGGATGTCCGTCTCTTCTTCCTTGCCAATGCTATTTCTGGATATCGTGTTTTTCCTTCATCCAAAGCAGGTTATTGGATGTCATATTTCTTTCTCCCTTTGTACAAAGTAGGTTATTAGATATCGTGGTTTCTTTTCCCTTCGTCTAAAGCAGGTTATTAGATGATATGGTCTTCCTTCGTCCAAAGTAGGTTATTGGATGTCATGGTTTCTTTTTCCCTTCGTCTAAAGCATGTTATTAGATGATGTGGTCTTCCTTTGTCCAAAGCAGGTTATTGGGTGTCGTGGTTTCTTTTCCGTCCAACCACTTTCCTGGACGACTCTAATGTAGCTTTAGATTTGGTCTCATCTCACATTTAATGGATGTTTCTGATTGTATTTTCTAGAGAGTCTTTCCCTTCATTCGAAGCAGGTTATTGGATGTTGTGGTTCTTTTCTGTCCAGTGTCTTTCCTGGACGAATCTGATGTAGCTTCAGATTTGGTCTTACTCCATATCTAATGTTCTTCTAAATGTTTCTGATTTTATTTTCCAGAGAGTTGCTCGCCTCATTCAATGCCATTCTTGGATGTCGTTGCTTTCCTTTTCAGGATTTATCTCCCTTTTCACAAGTATTTCTAGTTACTCCTTGTCACCATGACGAATATCCAGAATACCTTGTATTTCCTAGCGTATCTTTCCACGTCATTTATTTCAATCTACCATAAATCTTTTGTTTCAAGTTTCTCCAAATAGTGTCTTTATTATTTGCATTCATATCATATCATGTACAAAAAATATATGTCAAAAAAGAGTCCATACATTCATGACATATGATATCATCTCATCGAACCTTTTTGTGCCATCTCGCACCTTTTATCCTTTTAAAACTTTTCTTTCCAAGATTACACATAATTCATTTATAGTCGAGATATCATCCTCATATCCCCCTGGTTATAAACGTGTCAACTTTTCCACTTGAGTACTAGAGGTGTTCTCAATCCCTCACTCTTGCTGACGCAAGGGACATCTTTCTCACACCTCGTGGGCGTTAGTTGAGATTTCTCTCCTAAAAATGACGACTTGTCTCTTCGTTTAAAATCAATCAACAAACAATTCTTTTCTAGCCGAACTACGGTGCTCTGACTTTCCCATTGCACGAGGGAGTACGTAAGCACTAAGTCTTACGACCCAAGGCGAGAAAAAATAATAAAAAAACATTTTATTTTGTTTTCAAACACTTATTCATTCTTTCCCTTTAGCAATTAAGCCTTTAGATAACACACCTTTTGAAAGAAAACAAATAAATTGGATCATGTGGAGTACCGTAGATGCTTAGGGTGCTAATACATTCCCTCTGCATAACCGACCCCCGTACCTCGATCTCCGATCTTTTATTTTATTTTGGGTTTTGTTTGCTTTTTTCCCATTTCCATTTGGAAACAATAAAGTGCGGTGGCGACTTCATATGTGAGATAAGTTAATTGATGGCTTAATCTCAAATTTTTTACCGCTACATCTGTTTTGCATTTTACATAGTGCGACAGTAGGCTCTTAATATCATAAACCATTAGTGAATAGCAAAATATAAAATATTCAAACCGACAAATAGTAAAACCACTTTCATAAAACATAATGTAAGATGCCTCATAGATAATAGAATGTAAGAATGTGAAAGATGGACTCATAGTATAAAGCAGGGGAGAGGTGTACCTGCAATCTAGTCGTACCTGCAGAAATCTCGTCTCTAATTTCCATATCTGAAAACAACTACACATGAAATGCATCAATATATGTTAAAAATTGCAAACAATTACCAACATCGTTTGACCTGCAAATCACTTCTACCATCCCTAACAATTCCTCACACAAAACACATCCAAGCAAATTCGAAACCAAAAACTCCAAACAACCTTTGGAAAATAAAAAGAAATCGAAAACAAAAAGAAATCGTGTCCACAATCGCACCTCGAGAGGGATTTTGTTTCACCTGGATGCACTGAGGGAGAAGACTGAGACAATATGAGAGATGTATTTGGTCTAAGACGAGATGGAAGATTTGGAAAGAAAACTGTTAGAGTTTATGTGTACTTGAAGTTGCTGCTGACAAAGCTCAAACGATAGAGAAAGTGCTCAAAACAGTTGATGTGAGAACGAAGAACATCGAAGAGTTTTCATTTAGAGAAAAAATAGAGGTGAATGAGACAAGGAAAGAAATGAAAATATATTTCAATTAATATTATTTTAGAAAACCGTGCACAATTTATAAGGCAACGTTTATAAAAAACCTTTGAAAAATTAAGGATAAATATACAAAAGTAATAATATGATTGATTCATTTTAATTGATTTAGTGAATTACTATTAAAGGCAAATCTTAATAAAAATCATTAAACTAAAAAAGAGTAAATTAAAAAGTTTGGTGACATTCTCTATTCTTAATTAGAAAGTTGATTGAAAGAAAAATATTAAGTAGATATAACCCAAAGAAGAATAGTAAGTAGTAGATTGAGAAGACCTGTTCCTTTTCTTTTGGCTGACGACTTAAATAATTCTTTCAATTAAAATAAATAAATAAATTATTTTAAACAAATATTTATATTAATAGTAAATCTAATTTATTTTTAAAAAACATAATAAGTTAGTAAGAATCCACCCGCTACTTCTTTAAAAATATAATAACACAAATACATTATTTTTATTAAATTTCTGATAAAATTACGCAACAATTTCATCATTATGAAGCAATAATACTGAAAATAAAATAAATAGCAAATCAAATAAAGTAGACTAAACAATGTGTAGAAGATGATCAATAATTGACTCCATGTCCATTGCTCTGTCTCATGCAAAACGCTATAAGTCAAATTGGTTCGGTAAACTTTGATCATTAGCCTCTTCCCACGCGGCTATCTATTTTTCTAAGTTTTTTTATTCTTCAAAGTCTCAAGTTTCCGCAAATCTAAACACTAATTTCGTTGACCTAACAAATTACTGCATCAAAACAACACACACCCCTAACACCGCCTTAAACCATTAAACGTCATCGTTTCACCCTTCAAAAGTTAACGAACCTGTTTTAGTTCTAGTAGTTCGCTTTTTTCCTATAAATACAAACAAAAACGCATTTCCTTTACAATTAAGTTCTTGCATTTGAGAACAAAAGCAAAACAAACACATTCCTAGTAAACAAAACAGGGGCGACCCAAACCTCAAAGAACACAACACAAAACCATGGCAAAGAACCTAAATATTCTTGTTTTTGTTCTTCTTGTAGCAAATCTTCTCCATGGTTCGTTAGCACAAACACGCCACGTGGTTGGTGATACCAAAGGATGGACTATCCCAAACGATGGTGCTTCATTTTATGTCAACTGGGCTTCAAAAAATACATTCACAGTCGGCGACACTATTGGTAAGAAACTATAGATGTACTAACTGTCTTTGTCGTTTCGATTCGTATAATTAATTAATTCTTTTATAAATTTTAAATTTGATTTTTGCAGTGTTTAATTTTCCAACTGGAGCACATGATGTGGCTAAGGTAACAAAATCAGCTTTCGATGGTTGTAATGTAGCGAACACACTTTCTATGTTAACAAACGGTCCAGCTACGGTGACTCTGACCGAAACAGGACAACAATATTTCATTTGTACCTTTGGAACTCACTGTTCTCTTGGTCAGAAAGTTTCAATTAACGTTGTTAAAGCTTCAACTTCACCTGTTTCTGCTCCTAAACCCAGTGCTTCTTCTCCACCAAAACGAGCACCAGTACAAGCACCAACACCAACACCAACCACAACAGCCTCACCAACACCAGCACCAGCACCAACCACCACTGCTTCACCGGCTCCAGCTCCTGTTACTGGACCTGTTACTTACACCGTTGGTGATACCTTAGGTTGGACTATTCCCTCTAATGGTGCTGCTGCTTATACAGCTTGGGCTTCTCGCAAGTCTTTCAAAGTTGGAGACATCCTTGGTAAGACATTCATTACTAGAGGCAAAAGTTAGATACCATTTTTTGTGAGACATGTTAATGAAAAAGTTGAATGTATATATAATTATGCAGTTTTCAATTTCCCATTGAATGCACACAATGTGGAAGAGGTGACAAAACAGAAATATGGTTCTTGCAGCTCATCTTCTCCGATTGCAACTTTTAGCAATCCACCGGTGAGAGTCACACTTAACAAAACTGGTACTCATTATTTCATCTGTGGTGTTACCGGACACTGCTCTGCTGGCCAAAAGCTTTCCATCAATGTTGGTGGTGGAAGCAGCAGCAGCAGCAGCCCCGCCACATCACCTTCTCCAGCCGCCACATCACCTTCTCCTGATGCCGGTGCCACTCCACCTTCCTCATCTGGTTCTCCTCCACCGTCTTCTACCGTTACCCCTTCTTCTCAGTCTCCAGGTGGTTCTGTCAGCCCTCCTCCTGAGAACTCCGGTGCTGCATCTCTTGGAGTTGCTGGATTATTTGTCGCATTTCTCTCGGTTGCCGCAGCATTCTTCTGTTAGAGAAATGAGATGAGATCCTAGTTAGGAGGAATGATTGTTTTTGATTTGTTGATGTACGTGATTCTTTGTCTTTCTTTTGTGATTGTGGGACATTTTACAATGATGCTAGCTTGATGTTCTTCTGCTACAGTTTTGGTTTTACATGTTATTTTTATTTTTTTATGAGAATAATAGGTGGTGTACGGTTGTGTTAATATGCTAATAAATAAATAAATACTTTTTTTCTCGAAATTAATACAATTGTAGTATTGTTTATTTAATGTTGAGATTGTTGTTTTTGTAATCACAAATCATACTCTGAACTCTTTACCAATTACTAGGGAGTGTTCATGGGTCTCTTCTAGTTTGGTTTCACCAAAATTATATATAAGTGAAGTAAATAACCATCGGTAATACTTATTGAATTGATTTTGATAAAACTACATATGCGTGAATTGAATTGATTGGATAATATAACCTTTTTTCTTATATAATTTTAAATGATGTATTATATATTTTTTAATGTTTCAAAGCTTTTTTTTCCTAAAGAAGTTATCATATGACCACTATTATTTAGTGTCAAATATCTAAAAATATAACAAGACTTTGTTATAAATGTATTTGTAAATCAAAGTTGTATTAAGATAATATCTATAATTATATAAAATATTTATAACTCGCAAACATTATAAATATATTATTTAAAAACTTATTTAATTTGACAAAAAAAATAGATGCGTAATTTATTCGATTTTTATAAAATAAAAAATATTTTTATCATGTAAATTAAGAACTTATGTGATATTAAAAATTTTGAAAGAAATGAATGTAGTTTTCTCTAATAAAAATAATAGTCATTTAACCGATCTAAATAACAAAAATATTAAAAAATGAGTGGTACAATTTGTAGGTTTAATGTGATAAGTGTTTATGAGTTGAATTCGAGTATGATTATTCAATAACTCAATTTAATATAATGGAAATGCATATACGTGGGCTGAACGAATGATTTTCTAATACACAAAGTGGCAATCACGTTTTGTGAGGGTAGTGGAGAAAATGTGACCTTTTTAGAGTTTGAAATTTGAATTAACGAGGGTTGATAACTTAACTTCTTTGAATTTTGAAAAGATGCTAGTTCCTTTTTTTTCCCAATAAGCTTGAAAAGATGCTAGTAATTTAATTGGAGAAAGAATATAGTGACACTTGGAAGTCACTTGCCTTCCTTTTCATTGATGAGAAAGGTCCATTGAGTTGTGGTCACGAGATTCAACATTTAGCTAAACTAATACTAGTGCTAATCTAGTTTTATTTGTTGAAACGACTAGAATATTATCTCATTGTGGCTAATGATGTTGACAAATTATTTTGTGTCCCTTCTAAAAAAGTGCCTTTTAAGTTATGAAAATTTACATTTATACGTGTCTAGCCGTTAACATTTGAATAAATTAATCTTAATGCTTTGTTTGGATGAGAAAAGGGAAAGAAAATAAGAGAAAAGAATATTGAAAGAATTAAAGTGGTGAGAAAGTTAGAAGAAAGTGGAATAATATTTTAGTTGTTTGTTATGAATGAAAGTAAAAAGAAAGTGAGAGGAAACAAAAATTATTAATATAAAATGGTTAAAATAATCCTTTTTTAAAATTGAATAAAAATATTTAAATAGTTTTAGTGTAATTTTATTGTTATCATTGTTAAATAGTATTTATTTTATTATTTTATATAAGTTCATACTATGTATTATTAATATGAGAATGATAATTTGATTCATCTTCCGTGATATCCATTAAAAAAAAATTTATAACAGATAGATTAAAAATTTATATAAATAGATAAGAGCACATGCTCTGATAGTTACTCATTTAAATAAGTGGATATGGATGTGAGTATAAGTACTTTAGTACTCATTCCGCCTCATACTCGCATACTATATATATTTATATATTTTAATTTATATTATTATATTAAAATAAATATCTATCGATTTCTAAAAATACATCGATTATAAATCATTACATACGTAACATAAGTATTTGTTTATTTCATAATTCAAAAATAAATGTTCCGAAAATATTTAAATATTCTTAAAATCTTAAAATGATATGATTTTTTATAGTTAATATATTTACTTATTTATTAAAAATGCGGATAACGGATACGGATATGGTACTTACATACCTATAAAGTATGAGCATAAGTGTTAAAGTTGTTATCCAAGCGGATATAATTCGGGTACGGGAACTTTTTCCATCCACAAATATGGGAATGGATACTATAGTATCATATCCATGCTCTGCCCATTACTATCCCTATTAGGGGTGGCAAACGGACATGTCCGCCCTCTAAAATCCCGCAAAAAATGGGGCGGACATAGTTAATGATGCGAGACTAAAACCTAACTTCGTCCTGCAAAAAGTGAAGGCGGGCGGAAAAAGCCCGCGGACATTGCACCTTTTAAGTCTAAAAATACAAAATTTTATATAAATGCACATGCCCGCAAAAACCCGTGTAAAAAATAAGACAGGGCAGAGCGAACATATTAGATGATAAGAGCCTAAAACCTTGACCCGCACCGCACTAAAGTGCAGACAAAACAGACATGTTCAACGAGTCAGATCTATTTTGCCATCCCTAATCCCTATATCAATGTATTAAAAAATGATTAATACAAATTTTTTTTTATTTTAAAAATATAATGTTGTGATGGTGTTTTTTAGTTGATATATAATGCTTGAAGCCATATGTCATATAACATGAAAAATAAATTAATTGGTGAAGTAAAAAAGTCCATGTAAGCATAGGAAATTTTTAAAAAATAAGAGGCATTTTTGAATTTTTAGAAAATTGAATGAACATCTTATATTTTCTTCTCATATTTGGAGAGAATTTTTTTTGACGTGGAATCCACCTAAAAACTACTTTCTTTCCTCTCCTTTATTGCATTCATAGAGAGAAAACACACATTTCAATATACTTTCTTTTCTTTTAGCTTTTTATGCACTCACAATACTTAGAATCAAATAATGTGTAAATGAATGGTTACTCTGCCATTTTTAACTGTAAATAAAATTTGAATTTTTTAACCTTATGGAATATATTAGATGCATAATTTATTCAATAAATTTTAAAAATAATTTATTTATTTTATAATAAAAATGGTAGAGAGTAATAGTTAAGGATCTAATGATTGGTCGCCTCATAGACGGTCCAACGATTGATTGCCTCATGGACAACAATGATCTCAATTAAGGATCTAGTGATTGATCCCCTCATGGACGATCTTATCTTGAACTCTCAAGTTTTCTGCAAATAAATGGATAATCAAACATACGAACTTTACCATAATGAAAAGTGAGGTGCCTCATTAAAAACCCTCACCTCTTGTAAGAGCGTAAAAAGGAAAATAGTGCACCCCATAACGTAATGTGTTCCTTATAATTGACAGAGATACATTACTCACCTATAAAAATAAAACAAACAAACAATATTAAAGAAAAACAAATTGCAGTTATGCTAATGTTTTCAGGGGGTATATCTCCTGAATCTTTAGTCTTCAGTCTCATCAGAGGTTAGGGAGGAGGTTTCCTCGCCTTTGTTGAATTCCTCTAGTGGCTTTATTCCCGAGCTTATCTTTTTAACCTTACCTCCTTGAGTACAAATTCTTTTCAACTTGAGGCTTTTAACTTAACATTTTTCTGGTGATCTTTTGATCTCCTTAGATGACCCTTACTGGCCTATTAGGGACAAGGTACTTCATGCATAAATACAGAGTAGACAAGGCGGCGTCTGAAGGTTGAGAAAACACTTAGAAGGGAGGGGGGGGGGGGGGTTGAATAAGTTTTTTCTTTTCTTTTCTAGTGCAATACTAATGGAAGGACACTGGTAATTTTATCCTGGTTCGTTTGAAACCCAAACTACTCCAGTCCACCCGCCAAGGTGATTTCGCATCTCTCAACGAGGATTTAATCCACTATAATCAAAACTGATTACAAGCGCACAACCAAACTGGTGTGACTAACAATACAATGCACAAGCTAACTGCAAGTGACTAAAACCTCTAAGACTCAACTAGTCCTAGCCCTCTTGAGAAATCTGACCCAACTAGCCTCTCAAGGAACACTTACAAAATTGTCTCTTAATAGTAGTGAAAAAGATTTTCTTCTAAAAAGTTTTATCACAACTGTGATTTTTCACTTAGATTGTTGCCCAATACTTAAGAACTACCCACTATACAATATTAGTTTACAAGTATGAAAATAGTGAGTGTAAGTATATTTCACGTAAGTCAGTAACCTTTCTTTGATCCAAAAGGTCTTATATATATATATAGCTTCCAATTGACCGTTAGTGCCTTTGATTATGGTGCATGCATTTAATGAAGCGTGTTTTCAATGATGCCTTGGTCTTTATGTTTCCAATGCTAGTGCGCGTAGTATACTTGAGTGTGTTAGCCGTCTTAGCATTTAATATCCAACGGTACTGTCAGAGCTTGTCTCTGGAAGTTGAAGTGTTTGCTTGCAGCGTTGCTAATTCAGAGTTTACTAGATCTATTCTTCTATCAGAGTATTCTTCAGAATGTGATCTTCAGAGTTTTCTTTAATCTTGCATTTATCAGATGTTGCTTTCAGCGTGCTTCTATCAGATCTTTGCTTTAGTATGCGATCTTCATAGTTTGCTTTAATCTTGCATTTATCAGATCTTTGCTTTAGTATGCTTTATCAGAAGTTTCTTAGGATTGCTCTTTATCAGAGTTTGCTTTGGAGTGCTTCCTTCTGAGTTTGCTTTATACCTGCATAGAATGCTGTTTCTTTATAAGATGCGTAAGACAGAACTTCATCTGATCTTAGAGAACATACAATTCAGAGTATAAAATATATATCACAAAATTTATTTCTTTTGTTATCATCAAAACTCTAAGATATGATTAGAACCAAACTTTGTTCTAACAATCTCCCCCTTTTTGATGATGACAAAAAAATTCAGATTTTGATTAAAAAGAAATTTTGTGCAAGTATGAGGAT